AAATTGCTTGTGAGACTAATTGGTCTAGAGCTATTAAGTGAGATTCTCTCTCTTCCTTCATAGATTGGAGTCAGGCGATTTAGTGGGTTTTATCTATCTCAGGATTCTTCTTATTGTGGATACTGCGAACGACACTGTGTTACTTGTATCTGTCGGTGTGACAGTATATCGCTGTAATTGCTCGTCAAAAGGTGACACCTCGGTATACTCAGGCTCAAAGACGCGAAGCTCTTTGGGCGCGTATTTTAAACATTTGTCCTGTCGATTTTAGAAAATTGCGTTCAGGCATGGTACCCCTGGATGAAGCAAGCTTACGTAGTACTCAATAAATGTCAACGAATGGCGACCAAGCTAGTCAGCGGCTTGGAATGCCTACCACATTAGAATCGACTGGAAAGAGCCAAATTTTTTCTTCTCTCTTATAGACAATACAGAGGAGATATGATCATGGTCTTCGAACTCGCCAGAATAGTAGACTATGCTCTTCCGATAGCTTATTTTTTGAATTGGCAAAAGCGACACATCTCTGAAGTCATCCACACATGCTGAAGAAACACTATGCCAAACTAGAAGTGCGGGCAAACTTCTTTTCCCACCGGGTCATTGAAAACTGGAAGAAACTAACCTCTTCGGTTGTTCTTGCTGAAAGCATTGACACGCTTAAAAGAAGACTTGATAATACTTTACTGGATAGTGCTATATTTGGTTGACCTCGACGATTGATATAATGTACGTATATTGCTCTGGAAAATATGCATTATTTGCCAGAATCTATCTATAAGTAGGGTTCTCAAAGACTCTGCCTGTCTCCCTTATATATACCGAATTATAAGGAAAAAGTGGTTAGTTTTAAATGAGTTAGCGGTTCACCTTTTTCCCTGGTTGTCTGCCTTTTGCCTTATGTACGCAAGAAAAAAACTTTTTGGGATTGTGAAGTATTCCTTTGACTTGTCCTGACTGAAAGGGCAACGGTCCTTCCGCGGGAGTTTTCGACATAGCTTTCACAGATCCTTTATAACGGAGAAGTGTCCAGGTTTTGGACGTGTGATATATGTTTTCCACAGTCTTATTTTATTCTTGAGGTTCCTTTTCATATCAGGTGTCACCCACTCCTGCCGGGAGATGCGCGATCTCTCTTAAATTGAGCAATAGTTCTCTAATAAGTGCTCAGTTAAGTTCCCATGGGATCGGTGGTTCATACAATGAGATGGCAAACACACTGCCCATCGCCTCTATTGCTCATCTGCAATTAACTCACGGAATCGACCATCTGTTGATATGCATACCGAACAACGCCGTGTTGGTGCATCCTATGACGAGGAGTTTCTAGACTCCAACTCTAGGAATTGCCGCTGACTACTGGCAGTGGCACCATTCTCC